CCTGAGACACTTTGTTCATATTTTTCAATCTTTTTGTCATTTTCTCCTTTTATTGTTATACAAAAGTCATAAAAAAAAGGGGGGGGGTTGGGCTTTTAATCAAAAGCCCATACGAAATTCATGACAACACCTTCAGCTTTCTGTTCCACACCTCTCCTTATAATTGATTTAGTAATTTTAATTTAGTTAGTAAATTTAGATTTTTAATTTAGTTTAGATTTAATTTAACCTTTAATATTTTAATTAAATAAAAATATACTTTCAAAAATAATTTATTTTCTTATTTAGTTCAAGATTTTGTAAATTAATTTTACTAATTATTTTTTGTACTTAGTTCTAATTTGTTTATTTAATTTTCTTAATAACAAAAAAAAAATCTAAAAGACAAAAATATATACAAACAATTTAATTTCTTTAAATTAATTATTTTATTTTCTTTAATAGAATAGTTTTTTTTTAATTCTCTTCCCAAATTTCTCACAAAACAAAAACAAGAATTTTATTTTCATACTTTGTTAATTAATTTTTACTTCATAGATTATTGTAATTTCGATTAATTTCTCGATTCGATTTGGTTGTATTGGTTGTCTATTTGGACTTTTAATCACATTAATCCATCCCCATTTGTAAATTTGTACCCCATTCCCGAAAGCTCTATAATAGCGTAGAATTTTAATTTCCGTAATTTACTGTTTTCCTTATACTGTATAGTAATTAAGCGTGTATGACAAGATATAAAAACAACTGCTAGATAACCTAATTTTAAGACAATTCAATTGAAAACAAATCACTTTGCACACGCGCACCTCTAGGGTAACCTCGCTCGTTGCCTCGGAAATACAGTCATGTCCCTCGAATATGGGACGCTTTAGCAAAGATCCTTCGGTAAAAAAGATCGTAGTCCCTCGATGTTGCCTTCGATAAAATAATCTAGTCCCTTATGAAAAATTGCTAAAGCGTCTCATAAGTTGTGTTCTATGACTGTACGATTGACCCGCGCCCATCACTTCACATCCAACGATGGAGCTTCTTACCAAATCAATGGTAAGATAGCAACATCTAAAGGAGGAGGAAAATAACATCTAAGACTTTTTAAATAGGTAGATTCGCTCCTAGTTGCTCGCTTGCTCATAATAAAAAATCATTTTTACACCAACACTTTCATCTTGAAACATTTTCAAAAGACAAACACTTTGTACGCGTTCTTATAGAAACGAGAGCCATTACAAAGAAGACACATTTTCAAAATCATTTTCAAAAACACATTCCACAAACACCTCTTTGAACTATTTTTGAAACAAAATTTTGTACGCGTTCTTATAGAAACGAGAACCATTACAAAGACATTTTTAAAATACTTTCAAAACCCACACCACAAGCACATTCAAACAAAAACAAGTGATCTAGCAAGCAACTAAGAGCCTGTAGGTAACTACAGATGAAAAAGATGTTAATACATTCCCTTTTCATAATCTACCCCCGAACTCAAGAAAATATCTCTAAAGGTCTTTCATATTCTTTTTAGCATTTTCTTTTGGATAAAAGAAAAGTCAGTGGCGACTCTTGCTATCCGCACAATTCCGATCAAACGCAAAACAACCAAATCAGTTTTCTCACCGCGTTATAATATCTATTCTCTTATTTATATTTTTTTCCTATACATTCTCTCATTTACGCGCGCTCTTTCATTAATGTTTACATTCATAAAAAAAAAATATTATAATAAATTTTATTTTATTTTATTTGTCTGGTTTATTGTCCAGTAAATATCATACATGATAAAAAGAATGGTCTAATCTCTTAAAAGTTTGTCATTTGCGATGTTTATATTTTTGTGAATCAAAAGAATTAATATGTAATTTACACAAATTTAATTTTATAATAATACAAGTTTATTATTCATCCAAAAAATATCCAACTTTTAGATCTAGTAGTATCCATTTGGATTGGTTTGACACCGACGGTTCTCTACAAGGTATGGAAATAAGACCAACGTGGTGTTTGATTGACTAATTAAAAAAATTACTTTAGACTAAGAACTTCTATTTATTGATCAAATCAACATTATGGTGAGATATTTGGAATAAATGAAAATTTAGATAATTTTGGAAGATAAAATAATCAGTGTATCCCAACACATTTCCCTTTTATTTTAAGCCAACAGTTATAACAGTTTTCTTGGATTATTTAATTTTTAAATTATTTAGAAATTATAGGTTTTTTACTTTGAAATTGCATATTTTACTATAATTTTTGTTTAAACTTTCATGTATGTCGGTATAAATTTCATGATGTGGCATAGTATTTTTATTTTATTTTTTAATTTATTTTATTATATAAATAATATTTTTATATAGTTGAAATCTTCTTTATAAAAAACCATTGAAGAGAGAATTAAAATCCGTCCAAATTAATGACACAAATATCTGTGTAAATTCGTATATTTGCAAGGAAGTTTATCAATCTTTATTTAATTTCAATTGTTTTTATATTATATTATATTATATATTTTAACTTTTACTAATATTTAAGTTATATTTTATAAAAATAAATAAATTACTTTCTTATCATAATCTGTTAGATTAATTTATCATATTTTAATGTATCACCAAACATTAAATTGATTATTTTGCCCATCAAAGAAATTCTTAATATTATACTTTAAATTTTAAGTCTTAATATTAAATGTGACACAAAATTTTAAAATAATCCCCAAAGAAACATTAATTAGGTTAAGCACCCTTATTAATACAGTGATCACAATGAAATATCTACAATATAATATATCAATGGATGGTATTCCAAAGTTAATAGGTGCACGTTTTTATGTACTTACCAATCAACACTTCATTCAATTCACTCACTTGTTGTTGCTTTATGACCTTTGATACTTCAAGTAATTGTGCTTTCAATATCAATCTCATTATGCATTGTCCTTCAAGTGTTTATAAAAAGTAAAATCGCATAAGTACAATGCTTGTTGTGCCCATTTTGTGGGTCTAAATCACATCACTTTGTTGTGAGAATCTTTCCTAGATATAAACACTTACTGCTTTGAAATTGCATTCAAATTTGACATTGATTTGCTCTTTCATCTAGTACTTTAAACAAGAACTTGGAACATATGCAATCGGTAAATGTTGACAGTGATTAAGAAATTCTTCACACTATATCGTGTTCGGGCCAGCCAAAGATCTGGACAACGAGTTCAATCATATATAGCCCAATTAAAATTATCTAACGTATATAATCATTACATGTGAGATTCAACATACATTTTTTTTATCTCCACTTTTAACTATACACATAAGAATTTGTAACTGACTTGAGTGTTAAAATGCTAATTTTACAACTTAACCATGTGCCACTATGTCGGAGATCAGCACCACCGATTCCAGAATCCTACATCTTTGATCAACTCGAATTCTGTTTCCACAACGAAATATAATGTTTTTATCTTAGTTCAAGTTGGTGTTCTAGTTGTTCTCTTAGTTCATAATATTAAAAAATTGTTCAAATTTTAATGGTTTAGGTAATGAAATATGCAAAATGGATTAGGTTGCTAACAACTTTTGATATAACCATGATAAAATGAAGTAATTTGAAAGAAGAGAAATCTTAAAAAAAACATGACATAATGTTGTCTAGGATCATATTCTGCACTGCAGTTACATTAGCAACAATAACAGTAATTGTTTTGGCTTTAGTATCACCTGTTTCACATAACAAGATCCACTCAAAACCATGGCTTGATCTATCTCTCTACATTCAACAACCTCAAAATACAAGAACCTCAAATACACATGGTGTTCCAAGGGAAGAAGCCGGCGCATTCGTCTTTCACCGCATACTTACCGAGGGTCCGGAGAACACTTGGAAGGTCGTAGGAAAAGCACAAGGTTTCATAATTCCCGTGGAACGGTTTCAACAATCGGAATTCAATGTTTTGTATCTGACTTTTGATGCACCAGATCATTATGGTAGCTTGAGTGTGGAAGCAGTGAAAGATGGTGATAATAAGAATAGAGAAGAGTTTAAGGTTGTAGGAGGAACAGGTTCGTTTGCGTTTGCTCATGGTGTTGCTCTTTTTAGTCAAACAAATGATGAAGGTTTGATTTATCATGTTAAACTCGAGCTTGAATTCCCAAATCATTCTCGAAAGTTACCATGATGAAGCAGAGTTTTTAGTTTTTAATTCATTTTTGGTTGATGATTCTTTCTTATCAGAAGAATTTAAACTGAATCTTTGAATTCATATATTAATAATATGTTATTGTAATTTGTTGCGGTAGTTTATACAGTGTTTTGTTTGGTGGTGGTTCTGAGTATTGAACTGAGTTTTTGTGGAAGTCCCACATCGAACACGATAAAAAGAAGCTAGCAATAGAGTGTGTATAAAAGAAAGCAGCGAAAGAGGAGTATAGTATCTTTGCGCTTGGGGCAATGACGCAGCTAGTGAGGTACTAACCGAGGCGCGTCTATTGCTGGTTGAAAACTATTTCCAAACCCCCTCTTGGGCCTGGCTTTGCTTAGGCCCTCGAGAATTTCTGGAAGGGCTCCCTCTTTTGGGTAAAGCCCTACAATATTAGTTGAAATCTTTAATTAAATATGGTTTGAAAGGAATTTGTTTGTGCCACTAACAGGTCTAATAATTTATTTAATACAACTTGGGATATTTAAACTTCAACAGTTTCTAGAAACCTTGTAATCGGTGTTTATTTGACAATGAACAAAAACTTAAAATCTGTAATAAGCTTAGTTATTAATTACAATGAAATCAGTTTCTAGAGCTTAGTTATTAATTACAATGAAATCAGTTTCTAGAGCTTAGTTTACAATGAAATCAGTTTCTAGAGCTTAGTTTACAATGAAATCAGTTTCTAGAGCTTAGTTTACAATGAAATCAGTTTCTAGAGCTTAGTTATTAATTACAATGAAGTCATGGATAAAAACTGAATGTCATTACAATTAATTACAATGAAATCATGGATAAAAACTGAATGTCATTACAATTAATTACAATGAAATCATGGATAAAAACTGAATGTCATTACAAGCCTTCAAAAAATTGCTTCATCATCTACCTTGGTAGAAAACACAAACCACAAACTTTGAAATCCTCATTTCTTTCATCTCAGACCCAGCACTCCTCCATCATCTTCCTTAGTAGGACACGCTCGCAGCCTATACACCTTATCCGCCTACGTTTATCCGCCTACGTCTCAGCGCCGCTTCACAAATTGCCCAAACAACCTTCATTGTCCATCAAGGATGTCTACAATTCACCCTCTTATATATTCTGTGTTTCTGATTTGACTCTTTTTTAACATTATGATTGTTTCTAAATACTATACCGTTGACTATGAACAATCGTAAGTGCTGCATAGGATGAAAGATGCATATATAAAGCCAGTTTTGGAACAAGATATCGTTACATACAAGCTAGTGCCTAAAATATAAAATTTAGATGTCACTTCACTTCAGCTTTACAGTGAGACAAGTGCATACTAGTAATCGATAACTTAAAATTTTCCTGTAGCTAACTTCACAACTTACAACACAAATTAATCACTCATTTTTCCCTCAACAAAAATTTCTTCCCAAGGATTTTGGCCTTAGAAAGTTCTTTTCAGTATCATGTGAATTGCACACTAATAGTAAGCGTATGTATGTCTCAACAAGTATCATCACCATCGTAAACAGGTATCTGCCATTTTTTTGTATTCTTTTTTGGATCATCGGAAAGGCTAAGATCTGTCTCATCTTCCTTGAATGTTTTAATGAACCTTTTAGCACCTGTCAATATAAGCCTCTCGATCATGAATAATTGGTAATTATTCTCAATCACTGGATCTATTATATGGCTATAGTTTGACGAATATGCCAATCTATACCTGCAAATTTGAATCACAGCATCAAATCAGGCATTGGATGCCAGCCAACAGTTAACTTCAAAAACTAAAGCATACCAGTCAGTTATATAACTTCTATTAAGAAAATGGTTAGATATGATCAAGTGACCAGTAGCCGTAAAATCTAATAGCAAACCATAAATAATCCAACAAGAAACAGATAGAGGACATGATAAAATAAATCTAGCAGAAGGAATAAGTTTATAACTTAAAAATGCAAAGCAGTCTTTGGTTCAATAAGGATAGAGTGAAATGAATATTAGCATACAAAATTAACCACGGATGTTTCAATCACTGTCAAACTACCCAGACATGCATTGTGTATATTTCTAGGAACCCCTCCTCCCCGATGCAAACAAGAAAACAGTTACCTGACAGAAAGCGGTGAAAAAAACCCTGGAGTCCTTTCATTTGAAGCAATAAACAAGGTTCTTCCAGGCGCAACCCACTTCGCTATTCTACAACGAATAAACTCAGGGCGGGTATCCCTATCAAGGTGAGGATGCAGGGTCCTTGACACGCCAAACCTGTCCTTCCTGGTTTTTATTTTATCTCCACGCCGAACATGGATGGCATCATAATCACCAAGTTGTGCTTTGATCTGTGAGCAAGTGTTTCATCAGAAATTGCAGTGCGTAACAAAGAGAGATTGTTCAATTGTAATGCCACACTTTTGACATGTAAAGCATATTATAATCAACATTTGAAGTTCTGAAATGTGCAGGATAATTAGAGCAAATTCATTTATTGGATAAAAAGATAAATTTCTATGAAGCATAGACACCGACACGTCGACACCAGTATTAATTTGAGAAAATTACACAATTGAATTTAATTACATGTGTCGGTGTCGGGCACTACCAATGCAAGCTTCCAGGATCCCCATAGAATATTTTTTGGGATGCTCGTGTTTTTTCTTTTCTAATCTTGATTTTGATAGGAATCAACTTAGAATCTAAGGAAATGAAGTAAGAAATTAGAATAGAAAGTATGACAATCACTGTATACTGATGATAACAAACAGAATCAAGGTGATTTTGGATGTGAATTACAGTGTATGAGTGCAGAAAGAAAAATATAGTGTGATAAGCTAGGCAATTCGAAAAGTCTAGGATCTTCCTTGAATAACTAACAAATTCCAGCCTACCCCCCTGTCACACGTTCCCTCCATTTTATTCATCTAGACCCACTTTCTCTCTCACCACACCTTACACGCCTGGCCATATCATATTCCCTGCTTCCCCCCTTTTCTCTTCCCCACGTACACCCTACCATATCTATCAGATTCGCAGGAGGCCAAAAAGGAGGCGACAAAATGATGGGTGGAAGCTCCCACAAAGTAATGCTAAGGCACAATCTTGCTACCAAAAAGAAGTTAGGAAGGGCAACCCCAACTCAACTGTGGCCAGGATTAGCTATCCAGACCGCACGTTGCCTTTCACAATACTAGTGTCTCCCACTGCCATTTGATCTGACAATGGATGATCATGACAATCTGGTAGCAGGGATGCAAATGCAATCAAGTCAGTTCCTTATAAACCAAGTTAACAGAAGCAAAAGAATCACACTCAAGCCAGAACATGGGAAATCCTCTCTGCCAAGCCATAACTAAAGCAGATTATATTCCCCCCCGATTAACAAATGAGGAAGGGCGAAGATGCTATTTCCACTTTTACTTGTTTCCACTTCTAGAGAGTTACCCATATTGGTATGCACAGACACAAGACAATCTTCGTGAGCTATCGATTCTTTCTTTATCATTATTCTTTTGTTTTTTTTTTCTCTTTCGGAAATGCCTTCAGTTCCCCAGAGTTTTCCATTTTATTAGAGACACGGACTTGCAAAAAATAACTGCATATAGTAACTGAACCTGAATTCAGTTCCAAGAATATTTTTCTTTCGCGTATAGAAAATCTCGTGGGGGGTAGGGTGTAAAGAACCAAACCATAACCCGATGAATTCGAAAATCCAATTCAATCCAGCCCAATTTGATTTTTTTTTTTCCATGTTCGGCTTCAAACCAAATAAACTCAATGTCTATTGGTTGGGCATCAGTTTCACATCATTCAAAACCACTCACCCAGAACTTGAAGCAAAATACTATATTTATTATTATTTCTTGTACTTCCCACCAAATTAGTAGATATATTTAAAAAAATAAGTTGTATTTATGTATTTTTCAATCATTATACTATTTTCTCATTGTAGCTCATTTACCTGTTTTAACAGAGTATAAAAACTCTAGTGTTTCATTTAATTATAAAGCAGGGTTATTAATGTATTAATATCTCGACCCGATTGAACCAAACCAATCCGTTCATTGATTAGGCTTGATCTGGATTTTTTGAGAACATATTGTAAAAACCAAACCAAACTGACTATTTTAAATTGGTTCGGATTTTTCTCTCTCCAAAAAACCAAACTGACCAGATACACCCCTTCGTCTCTTGCTTCTTTCACTCGGTTCTTCTTACTTGCCCTGATTCTATCCTTTTCTCATCCGAGACTGAAAAAAAAAACATGGGAAGGAAGTACAGAGGTGACGGTGGTAGCCCATTAACCACGGCCCCAAAATTCTAGAAAATTACTTCATCGATCTATGCATTAAGAGATTCATAAAAGATAGATAGACGACTTGGTAAAACAGCTTCAATAAAATTCGATTACAATTTTGGAATATAAAGTACATCAGAAATGTAAAGTGCTGTAGCCAGTTTTCTGAGAGGTCAGGTTGTAAGTTTACCATTCAACCTTGAGGTACTCAGTTCGAGACTTGGCACCAAAGAAAAAAAAGTAAAGTGTTGTATGATCAGGTCCATGACCAATTGCTGATAATGCAACAAGCTAGCTTGCAAAAATATGCATGTTTCAAGGTTAAGGTTAACAAATCCTCTAGTCCACCTCCAGGTTCTAGTTGATACTCTCTCTGTTTCCTATTTACTCGTCATTTTAGGGCTTTTCACAGATACCGAGACGATAAATAAATTCTGTTACTAATGACATAACTATTTATTTTTCACTATATTACATTTAATAATTTATCATCTCTTTCCATCTATTTCTCTTAGCAATAAATAAATAACGGTAATATTGACAAAAATAGTAATTAATGTTGCATTGATATTTGAAAACAAAGAGTAAATAGGAACATAAACTTTATGCAAAAGCGACAAGTAAAAAGGAACGGAGGGTAATTTCCAAATCCAATACAGGAAAGCAAAAAATATTAACATTATAACAATTATGTGCTCGAAGGAATAGATTTAAAATCCAATGTAAAATTATATTTATTCTACACATACTATATGTTAAGAACTAAGAGGTTATGAATGAAGGGTACCTTTTCTGCGGCATCTTTTAGTTTTTTTGAAGCCATTGAGGGCAGAAAGGAATATGGTAACATTATAGCACTGCGGTTGTTTCGATCCTTGCATTCCATAAACCTGGAAGGCCATCATTAGCACCTCGAAATGCAGAAGAATCTCTGCTCGTAGCATATAACAATTTATTTTGTTATGAGCAATCATTTTCATAGTAGAACCACTATGGCAGTTTTTAAGGCATGATTCACACCTTAACTAGTTGTGAGTTATAATACAAATAAAACTTTGAAGTCAAGTACATCAAGCATATGTTGAACTCATACATTAGCCAAATCATGTCCATTAGTTTTAAATTTAATAATATATGCAAATCTCTCTATCACATACCAGCTTTTAAAACTCTGCAAGTTCAAATTGAATTCTTTTAATTAGAAACTATAGGTTAACTTGATAGTTAATACATTCCAATGTGGAGTGAAGTCAAAAACACATTAGTGCGGAGAAAAAGTGTCAATAAGCATCACAGAGTTCATGGTGCCAGATTTACTGGAAATTCAATACCATAAAATTTTTTCTTGTGATGCCAAAGACCTTGATCATATTTACAGCTTCTCAAGTATCACCCACTGCACACAGAAATTTGCCACCCACAATTTAAGAACCCAATAACAATATGCCCCACTATATTCTAGACATCATCAACCTTAATTTTCAATATAATTAAATAAAAATGGTGCATCTTAGCATACTTGAATGAACAATTAGGAAAAAAAAGGAGAAGAAACCTACCAAGAAAGAGGGCTAGCAGTTCTGTTTATGAGCAACAAATCAGAGTACTGATTGTTTTCTTTAAGCTCGACACGACTAACTCCTGCCACGTGAGCAACTCCTCTGGCTCCAAGCTTCATGCTGGTTGATAGAACCTTATACCATTCTTTTGAATTGTCAAAAATTACAGGGATAGTCTCTGACATGAGTTCTGCATCATATAAAGAGTCCATAGCACAAGAACTTGCCGCCCACCTGTAATGGATAACCAAGGCTAGCTAAATGCGTGTCTTTTAAAAAACAATTACCACATACTTGTTTTTA